GTGTGGTGCATGTAAGTGAGTGTATAAGTAAGGGGGGAGGATAGGAAAAGGAAGAGGAAGGAAAGATCGCGCACGGTCCGTAGATCGTTTGTTAGGGTACTGCTCCGGCATTCGCCTGGTATTGAGAAAAGAGAATGCGTGTTAACGCGGGCATCTTTCTCTTCTCCTGTTCTGATTTGATCCGAATACAGGACTTAAATTATTCGCTATTCAGAGCTTCCTCGCAGCGCCCTTGACGTCATATGAATCTCAAATCAAACGGTGAAGGCTCTTGCAAATGAATTCTGCCGCCACGCCGATGCAAATATGCGAGCACAGTATCTGGACACTCGCACTAAAAACAACACTTACTTCACTAAACGAACACCACAACGTTTAGAGCCAACATAGTTGCCAAAGCAATAGATATCTGCGCTGCCATCGATATTTACAGAGTAGAATTATTGACAGAGCATGTGAATGTCGTATTCGAATTATGAAACGATTAACTTTAAATTAGCTATTTTTGCGAACCTGCTTTAAGAGTTGCCGTATGCAAGGTTTAACTTATTCGAAACAGTTATGTAAGTTTATTGTTCTGCGTGTTCATCAATTACTTCTAAATATATTCTCAAGGGGCGTTGCAAGCGCCATACACCGAGAGCAGCCTACGTGAAACTTTGTTTACGTTGCGTTATGCGCAAGTTGAGGCAGCCTATACGAGTCACCTGAGAGAAGCCTACATTCCATCCACATTAATGCACGACTCGTAGGTTCCCAGAAGGGAATCGACTCACTTCCGCGAACACGCGGAGAACGACAACACCAACCTGCGAGCGGATCGGCGTCGTGTATAACCTCACACTTTTGAAGCGCAGTTGTCACTTTTTCTACGCGTGCCCGAGTTGATGACGAGGCCATAGCTTTCGCAGATTAACGTAAAGCATATTACTCGCGCAACTTTTTTTGAACGATGGATTGAAGAAATGCGGGTAGAGTGGGGGTATTGGTTACGAAATCGGCCACTATATTTTATGAAGCAATGTCTATCTCTGGAGATCAGTCATGCATTCGCAACGTTCTCAATAATTTGCGTTCTAACTTTTTAAGGAGTTCGAGGTATCTCGTGTGATAGATCTTTACCTGCTTCGGTCATTTCTTTAGTTTTTTGGAGAAAATAACGGATAGCAGTTCTCGTTTTCAAAAGAAAATTGTTTCAATTTTGCGCCAGTGAAGATGTGTTTGGAATGTTGTCATCAGTGCTCGCTGCGAGCGTTCACATTCATCTGTTTATTGGACCAGAGAGGGGGAAGCAATATTATCGTTCAAGAAAAGTTGCGCGAGTAATACTTGAGTCTGTCCAACGACAAATTTTAATCGCATTTTGTGTCAAAATACATTTTTTTGCCGCAAGAACGTTTTGCAGTTTGTTATAAAAACACGGAAAACGAATTCAAGCCATTTTTTAAAAATTGATTTACAATCGAGGAGGCGTGTTTCGAACAATTCAAAAAACCTTCGAAAAGTATCCTTCTGCAATTTATTAACGCGTTCACGCCACAAAAACAACCACGCCGATTTGAACTACCAAAGCAGAATACACGCGCTCTCCGTCTCTCGTTCATCGCTCTCGTTCACCGATCTCGCAGAGTCGGGAGGCGTGCATCAATTTTGGAGAACTGTTTGCTTCGCGTACGAGTCTCCTGGGGACTGCGCAGGCTCAGTTCCCCGCCAACCCTTGACGAAGCCGCCTCGCCAGCCGTGCCCGGCGCCCCGCGTTCCGAAACCGGCCATCGCTCGGCCGGACGACAGAACTTTCCAACGAACAGCTAAACCGTATGTGAATGCATAAAATGCGTAATGAATTGAAATGCGTAAAATGAATCGAGTGAGAATGCGTGTATTTAATTAACCCTATGATGCATGATCCCGAGAAATGACATCGATACACATGCCGGCCTCTGAGGCCCTTGAAAAATGCTCATATTTATTTTTAAATTTAATAACGCCATTTCATAATAATTTCAATAAAAGCCAACTATTAATGTTCAACAAATTATTACTTATTTAAATAAATATTAATAGGACCTTAAAACTCTCACATGCATTGACTTAGTAGAATCAAATTTCAGGTCCTCCTATATAACTTTCGGAATTTTTTCTTTTGCCGTTTACTAAACTAAAAGTATAAAAATAGAAGAAAGACTATACGGAGGGGGAGCTCTCAGAAATGCAGCCATGCAGAGTAAAAAGAGAAATAAAAAACGTTTCTGCCTCTGAAGCCGTGCATTTGCATCCTAGGGTTAAGTAGAAATACATTAGTTGTTGTGCAAGGGAATGTGAGTGAAGAAAAACTGTATTTTTGTTGTAATGTTTCCTCAGAAATTTTACCTCAGCGTGATAGAATGACGGGGACTGAAGGCGAAGCCTCGCCGTAAACTACGAATTTTCTGCTTTTCGAATTTTCTGCAGGAAACTCTTATTACAGGGCCCTAGTAACGAAAAGTGGATAAATCCAGTTTCTAAATGTAGAAAAGAAACTTTCAACAAGTGTTGTAGACAGAATCCATGTTTTGTGGGTCTTTGATGCAAATGACTCGAATGATGGCAAAACATCTGTTTCCGTCTGTCCGTCAACAAACGCTAGCAGCAAAACCGCAGAGCTGATTTTCTCCAAAATTGATATTCCCCAATCGATCTGGCCGTTGTCGTAGTCATTTTGAATTTGAAACCAATATGTTCATTTTGAAAGTGCTGAAATCCCTGGGACTTTTCGAAATTTTCAAAAAAAATGGCTCCATCGTTTGATTAAATTTTGTTGTTGGGTAGTGTGAAGGACATTTAAAAGAATGGAGCAGGTCTCACTTTCGTTAAAAAATCTAAAAATTCTTTTCGAAAACCTGAAAAATTAAAAAAATAATTTCGGCTTCATCCTACAATTAAATTATGAAGATAGAGATTTTTTCCTTAGTAAAACCTGTTTCTTAAAGATATATTTTGAAATAAGGTCATATACAATTTTTCGAAAATTTGAGTACTTTTCGCGTAGTTTTGCATGAAAGTACGGGCGAGAAAGTATGTGCTGTTTTAGCACCACTAATTTTGTGTTATCTTAAACCAAGTACAGGACCGTGTACAAGATTTAATATCACTATTCATTAAACTACCCATTTCATACAATTTTACTTGTCAATTTGCTTTTAAAAATAACAAAAAACAACAACACTGGCTTGCGGAACTGCAAGAAGGCGCACCTGTCTCTGTAAGCGCTTCGATATTCGAAACTTCAAGCGGTCCAGCCGCATACAAGAGATTTACATATTAGCATAGCATACATTTCGTTAACTTGACAATCTACAACCTACGGATGGTCAGAAAGACCTTTAGTCGAAGAAGCTATTGGGATCACTGGTAAATCAGCAGTTCCCCTTCATCAATCAACTTCCATGTAATAACCGTCATTGTTGTTTCAATTGAACATGATGCGTTGATTTTAAGAGCCCCTACGTCTTTTTATGTTTACGCTGACATTTCGCCATCTTAAAGTCTCCTAAATTAACGTTACTGATACCAAATAATTGAACACTAAAGTTCCCAAACTAAACATTTGCACAACAAATGTGACAAAAAAATTGTTCTTAGTTTCTCTCTCATTTCAAGTCGCCATCAAGAAGAGTGGCTGTAAGCGACTCCATTGGTTAAAATATTAATTCACTGCTTATTGTAAGAACTCAATTATCATGGCCTTGTATTTAGAGATACATTGCTTTTACATTATTATTTGCATTACAGCTCAGTAAATTGACACAAAAGTATTTCGAAATGTTATTACAAAAATATATTACAGCTGTAAGGAATATAATCTTTGCATCAAATTAGAAACAAAAAATATAACAATTAAGTATACAAACTTTAAATTAAATTCAAAAAGTGTACTTTTTTAGCGAAGATTATTGTCTTCAGTTGGAACGGGTATTTTGTTAAAATTTCTGCGTTTATTTAATTATAGTCGTTTGTAATTGGAATCGTGATACAAGAGGCGGTTTTGTCACTTACATTCCACTTCGTTAATCTGGTTTTCCGTTTCGAAAATTTGTCGAAGTATTTGATAACTCAAATTTTTAATTTTCATATTCAGATTCAAGATGTAAAGATTCCACTGAATATCATATGCCACCGGAATAATTACACTGAAGATTTATATTATTAGTGTTTTGAAGCCTTATTTTGAATCTCCCGTTCACGAATCACCTGACAAACAAAAAATGAAAGGCGTGAGATCACGGGCACGAGTACAGTCATGTTCCCAGGCGTGAATGTGCGTGTTGAACCTAGTGATTAATTCCCTGACAACAGACCTTCAATTTCCTGTGTTTCTGTGCAATTTGTTTCAGTGAGGAAACACGTTTAAAATTTCTGCAAGAATTTGATACCGTCGACAAAGAAAAGGCTAGAGTAAGCAATGAATGTAAATGACATTTGAATGTAAAAAGAACTGCGTTTTGCAAAAGTCAAACTATTCTTTTTGGGATATTTTAAATCAATTGCTGACAGTAAGCTTCCTGGATAATTCCAGTGCCAGCTACTGCAATACATTTTGAAAATTATTTCTTTTTTGCGTTTTTCGACAAACCGTTCGGCAACGAAGAACTTGGGCACTAAATGCGTTGGGAAATATTCGACGCGCCGAGTGAAGGCTGTTTTATGTTGATCGCGTAGGCAAACGTGTCACCATTTCGTACACGCGTAATGAAGTGCAACTTGCATTATAAAATAATCAATGGTTAATTAATTACAATTAATTAATCGTTATGAATTAATTAATTAATTTTAATATGCTATTTAGTTCACTGGTTGGTGTTGTCTGCAGGTTCTCATGGTAGCCTGTAGATTCCTCTACGTAAAAGAACGGCCTTTTTTTCTTTCATATCGTGTTACCTCTTAATGCCGGGAATATTCAGAGTCTTTAACTAAAATATTAGTTTGGTAAAAACAATAGATATGATATGAATAACTCTCACCATCTGTAAGGTTGGCAGGCATGGAGCCGACGTCGCCGGCGTCGCCAATGTATCTACCCACCACCACGTGCACGCCGCGTGGGTCAACATACTCCTGCTGCCCTCGCCCCAACCTGCGAACAGAAAAGAAGCGTTGGCATCCCTCAAGGATTACACAAAAGTCCTGGGGGTACACCGAAAACACAGATCACAAGCCATTAAAACGCGTTCGCAATTTAAAAGAAAATTCAGTTAAGCAAATACGAAAAAATAAAGGAAGCGTTTATAAGTGTAAACAAAATTTGTGATAGAAGGGAGACATGAAGTTTTCACTATATTTATAACATAAACAATAAACTTTTGTCAATAATGCTTTTAATAAACATACAATGGATTACACATTTTATGCCATTTTACTATATAGGTATATTTCAAATGTTTATTTCATTTATTGTATATCTTACCCTTGCTTAATTTGTAAGGAGAAGAGAAGGCAAATGGCATTATCTGCCCTATACTGGTTATGCTTAATAATGTTTCTAAAAACCATCGATATCGAAAAATAAAAGTTTTTTGTCGTAGGAGAAAAAATAAAAATTAAAAAAGTTAAAAAATAGATTAATGTTAAATACGTTGTGAAAAAACTTGCGATGAGGTAAGGAAGACCGATGTAATAATGTTTTATGTTAGGAATCTTACGCGCATTGGATATTTTCTTTTCTAATATTGTGCCGATTTCTGCCCTGCAACCAGCCATAGTCACGATCGCCAAGGCGATGTAACTTCTAAGTTTTTTTAGAGTTTGCGACTGAATTGCCAACGCAATAAAAGTATTAAACCAGAGAATCTTTTCTGATTGATTGAATGATTCTTTTCTTGAAAAGAATGGTATCTAGGTTGAGAATAGATGGGGAGGTGCAGGGAATCGGCCGCTTCAGACGCATAATGTCCCTTGCTGGAAAAGTATAATTTTATCCTCGTCAGAAATAGAATCAAGCTATACCAGGTGCTTCACTTAAATTTTCACGTTCTGAAATGTTAATACCCAAAGAAGAAAAATTCAACAGCAACAACAACAGCAACAGCAACAACAACAAAACATTCCCGAAAGCATTCCACAGATTCGTTTGGATTGACTTACGGAAGCGCAAATGTTCTTCACTTCTGTCATTAATTTGTCGTTCTGGCGCTCTGTTCTTAGATTCTCCCTCTTCTTGGGTTAAGTTTCTCCCTGGAGAAAATGCCCAAATCTCGCCCAGGCGGTATCACATTGCATTTTTCCTACGAAACGAGAAAAGCCATATACCTTGATTTACATCCGAAGGTATCACTTACTAATAAGAGCCATTCATCCAACAAGGCCGCACAACCTTCAAGTAACTGGTAAATTCGGCCTTTTTGTCATTTCGCCCTACAGAAGTGTCAGTACTCTGCGTTGACATCTGTGTTACGATACAGAGAGACAAACGCATGTCGACCTTCAGAAGTGTCGTCAATTAGACGGTCCGCAAAGATGTGCAGATGCTAGATATTACTTAATTTCGCTCATTAAATACGAATTCTCAAAATAGTTTATTTTTGCAGTATAATTCCGAAAAAAGAAAAACTGAACAGGAAACATTTCAATAGCATTGTTCTGTGTGAAAGAGGACACTAACATATTGCAAATGGATTTATTACAAAATAAAACTGAGTCGCAAAACATTTACCTCAAAGGCGTGTGGACGAATGTGCTACATAGAAAAGTTAAACTTGCTGAAATATATATTTCAATTAAATGGGTGAAAACCAGATATAAAATAAATGACATTTTATAAATTCTTAGAAAGCTGTTTATTTTATTCAATTTCACTGTAAAGTCGTGATACTTTGTGTCACCATTAAAACGACGAAAGTTCATTGGCACTGAAATATAGCATAATAAAAATGTTTTTTTCAGAATTTATAAAATGTCACTTTTACCGTTATGGTTTTCACCCATTGAATTGATTTTTTTATTTATGTGTCTATGTTGCCAGATCGTTATGTAATTATGAAAAGAAATCATAATTTTAAGTTCATTCTACACCCGTACTTTAATGAGCCATATTTTCTTAGGATTTTTTAATAAAAAGTTTATAAGTAATAAAATTTGACATGAAACTTTATTTTTAATAAAATATTAATTACAGAAATTGACAAAAATTTAATATTAAACTACAAAAATGAAAAATTGCATGCAATTCATTTAATACTTTCAGTTAACTGTCATGTTGTATCAGCGAAATTAGTAGTCCGACGAAAGGTTGACGACACCTGGCGTAGACACCTGAGGAAGAACCCGCACGAAAATAAGAGTCAAATCATGATCGTTCATGAGGTATCATGAACCGCTTTACTCATGTCTCGCACTCAAAAAGAACCAATGGGTGAAACGCACATTCAATTAGAGAAGACAGTTCGAGAGGGTAAAATCGGTTCATTTTATTTGATAATAAAGAGTGCATTTGAAATGAAATGCGAGTACATGCATTCACCTTCTCTTCGAAATTGATGTTGAGTATTCTAAAAGCATTTTCCCTTCACCGCACCCGGTACGCACTCCGGGCAACTATTACGTTCCGTTTGACGGCAGTGCTCACTAGAGCAAAGCGCCATTTCATTCACACAATGGATCGGAACAAGGGCGCCCTCTAAGCGCCTTTATCGGCATTGAGAACTTGGTCAGTGCAGCCCAGTGTACTGGATCGTTTTTGAGGTTACGTACGAATTAAATGTGCGAACGAAAGTTATTAATAGAGCAATTGTTGTTTGAGGTGCAATTGTGAAAATTATGGAGTATCTTCTTGGAAGCAAGGGCAATTCGGATGATGAATATGTACCAATATTACAAGAAAAAAAAGTGAATTCAATTTACTAATCTTTTGACTTGTATGAAATTACATTGATCTTATATTTTACATTGTTTACACTCGTTTAACGTAAAATAATAATTCCCCAAAAATGTGGTGGACAAAAGTCCAAAAGAAAACTATATTTTGCACATACTAGTATACAAGGTGAATCGCGTAACTTTAGCACCTCTTATAACGTTTGAACGGTTGAAATTATTGCAATACAGTTTTCACGGAAGAGCATGAGGTAATGGGGCTAATTGACACTTGTATTCATTTTTATTTTATTACTTTATTTTACGAGATATTTGAGGTAACTTTGTTTTATTCAAATGGAACTACTGATATTTTTCAGTCTGTTGTGACGAGCGTAAAAACAAAATCTAATGATATTCATATTGTTATATGTTAGATAAGCTTTTTTCGAGTAATTTTAATTTTTGCGACTGGTGTTTAACGGATATTTTTAATGTAATTCCGCCACACAAGGTCACGTAGCACTCCTTGCAATCGCGTTGGGGAAGGGAAGGTACCGTAAGAATTTGAAGATAAGAAACACATTCCAAATATTCACAAAACTGTTGTAGTTTTTTTCTTGATCTCTGCTTTCCATCCTTCAACATTTTCATATTTTTGTGTAACTTAACGGTTGAAAATACGGATTAGTATATATTGAAATAAGATTGTTTGTTATTTCAACTTCGTTTAAAGGGGTGTCATACCCCAGGATATTAATGGGATCTTGAAACTAAACATCCTGCAACAGTTTCGTGAATATTTGGAATATGTTTTGTATCTTCACATACTAAGATCCCGAGCACGCGTTAGCAGGGGGAGCGCTGCGTGACCTTGTGTGGCGAACTGTGACATTCAAAATATCCATTAAACACTAGTCGCAAAAAAATTAGAATTACTCAAAAAATGCTTATTTAACATATGACAATATGAATGTCATTGGATTGGTCTTTTTACGCTCGTCATGATGGACTGAAAAAAATATGTTTAGTTCCATTTGAAACAACCAAGTTACCTCGAATATCTAGTAAAATAACAGTGATAAAATATAAATAATACACGTGTGAATTAGCCTCATTCCCTCATGCACGTCCGTGAAAACTGCATTGCAATAACTTCAACCGTTTAAAAGTTATAGGCGATGCTAAAGTTTGGTGACTCACCGTGTATGATATTTCTGGTCACGCTCTCCACGTACGGCCTCAATTCTCAGTTACGCTCAATACATTCCTTCCGAGAGACGGAAGACCATAACACATGGGGCACGAATCGCGAGCGATCTTCCCTATCTCATTCTTACCTACCCCTCGGAAGATTGATTGATTGATTGATTGGTGAATCCGGTCGCGTCGACGCCTAGGGTCATTAGTCCCGTGAGTGTAGTTCATGATTTGCTCAAGAGGTGGCGGGGCTCTTGCCTGGTAGATACTGAGATCCGACGCCGACCTACCACAGGCTACAGGGTTTTCCCGCGGTCAGGTATCTCCCACCAATGGGGAACCGCCCCAGCCGCGACAACCTCTAAGCTCCCGACCGGTTTCCCTGTCTCCTTGCATGTGCGGTAGTATAGTGTATGTAAGTGTAAATGTGTGTAAGCAAGGAATGAGGATAGAACAAAAAGGGGAAGGAAACATCGCGTGCGGTCCGTGGCCCGTTTGTTAGAGTACTGCTCCGGCATTAGCCTGGTGTTGATCGGAGAAACCACGAAAAACTACCGATCAAAGAGGCCAGCAGCTAGAATTCTCCTACAAACAGCAGGTGAATCTATTAGCTAATTTTGAAAATCCTTTGGGAGTGGAACCCCCAGGACCTGCCGGTCAGAGGAACTACAGTTCATGCCCTGAGCCACATCTCACGGAATAAACAATAACATTGCGCTCAATATTATTGTCTTCTATTATATATGGTAAACTTTGGTTTGTTTTTGCTTGTTGATAATTTTGTATTACTCTAGTTTATACTCGTACTAGTTTTCCGTGCGCTCTGTAAATTGCTTCGTGATGAAAAAGTTCTTGAACACGAACGTTTCTGCTGTTCATGTCCTTGTAGATACCACGATCAAAACTGCCGTTTCTAGAACGCTCATTTAAGATAGCGGTTGGTCGTCTAAACGTTTCCGGCTCAGGCACAAAACAAGTGTTTTTAAATTAGCCTTATTAGACCATGAATACCTTAAATTTACATTCAATAAGTCTACATAGACCCACAATACAAGCAGAGCTGCTTCCCAAACCCAATGCTCAACA